TGACTCCCAGTGGCAGAAGCTGGATGAGATTTGCAGTTTCACCACAGCCGGACTGCAAAGGATGAATACTCCAGGTATAGGGAGACTAGAATAAGAAAGCGAGTTGTTTTTAAGGGCCGAAATACACTTTTGCAATGCAGTGCATTAGCATGTTGCGCTGCCATTTATTTTGAACGGAACCCCAATGCAATAAGGCATCGTAGCTCCAAAGTACATGCATTGAAGCTCGCCATAAAACACAGCAATGCACTAGCGTGCATTTGTGTGCCCTGCATCCGGAAAAATGCTTTATGTCTGTTTCCAGTGCAACTGTGTTCAAGTCAGAAATTCCACTTTATTAAAGTCTCTTATTCAGAATGTCTTGAGCACTTCAGGGCATGACTCTTTTATTACAAAATGTATTGCAACACCTTCCAGTTTGTGTGGGCACATCTGTACAGGGCTCATTGCTGGAACCAGCAAACACTGGGGCCTATGGGTCTTAAAGGAGAACTATGAGATTAGTGATTTTCACTCAACCTCATAGTTCGAGCCTACGAGTGACAAACTGTCACACGTCGGCTCAATAGATCGGGAAGTGAGCGAACACATACCGTCGCTCGCTCACTTCTCGATCCAGTGCCTGCAGAGAGCCGCAACTGTCACTCACGGCTCCCTGCAAGGATTCCCCCCTCCCCGATCCTCCAGCGCTGACTGGAGGAAGGAACGGGAGAGGGGGCGGGTACAGCTGGCTCTACCTCTAGATAGGCAGAGCCAGCTCTCAATCGCGCAGCTGGGTGGATCTCGACAGTAATGTCGGGATCCGTCCCGGCTGCGGCGGTCTTAGTATACCGCGAGCTGTAGCTCGCGATATACTGAGCTTTGGATCATGGGAGGGCGCTAGTTTATGTCCTCCCGTGACCCTGAGAACTATGGGGAAAAGCACTGACCCCATAGTTCTCCTTTAAGATGACAACACTGGCTACTATTGTGTTGTGTCCATCAGACTATCCGCATGCACAACATGAATGCCAGAATGAAAAATGTAAATAATTCACCTGATGTCTGTTACAACATTTATAACTGGAGCGTACCTTGGACAGTTTTTTTTGTTAAGTAATAAACACAACAAAACACAAGAGCATCAAAAGTCAGAATTTTATATTATAAACTTTAGAACGATAGTATGCATTTTTTTTTCTTCAAAAATGATGTTTCCTTAATAAAATTAAAAAATACCCCCTGTAAGAAAAAAAAAATTAACTTTCGCCCAGGCCCACATCTGACATTCTATATTAAAAGTCAAAAATAAATACACCACAGTAGTAAAATGGAAAATTGTAGTATGTACAATAGAAGCAAAAAAGTGACAAAAATATACATTTTTACAAAGCGAGTTTTATATTGGCGTCAAGTTACACAAGTTACACAAAACATTCTTCTTATAGCCAAAAAAACACTGAATCTTTTAGCATCGCATAAATCAAATTAAATCAATTCACAACTTTTTTTTCCCCTAAATATTCCTTAGGCAATGGTACTCAACCTTTTAGTAACACTGTCTTTTATGTTATTATTGTTCTCTTATGTGCAATTTTTTAACAAAGATAGTGAAATATATTACAGTGCAACTTGAACCTTTACTGTGTAGGGCAAAGTAAAACAATGACTTATTATTTCCTACTGCTCCCAGCTGCATAATCTCCACTTTTCTCATTCTCTCACCCTTCCGCTCAGCTCTTTTCCTGGCCCTATGTGACAGTGCTGGGCCAATCAGGAGGCACCTAGAGCGGTCAGGGACAGGGAAGATGAGACACTGCTTCACTCCTAATTGTTGGGCATTTCCTTTAGCTCCCAGAAAAACAAAAGAAAGAAAGCATATGCTGCTGGGTAAGAGGGGGAGTAAGGCAGCCATCTACACTGCCATGTATGCAAAAGGAAAGGTTTACTTTAAGGGCTCGGCCTGCACACATGGTGGTGGGGCCACGAAGTGAGACACTGCTTACCGTTCTTTTTAACTTTATAGAAGTGTCAATTTATTTAATTTCAGGTAGATGGTGGCAGATTGATATACCCATTGAAGTCATATATTTTAGGGTGTCTGTAGGTAAGATCTGAGCACCCAAGTTTGCAGCTCCTCTAACTTGCTGTAGACATCTCATTATTGAAAATGAAATAGGCGTCAGCCAGGGTCAGAGAACAGGTTTCACTTTCTAGGAAATCTTATCACTATGTTCCTTAGAGAACATTTCCTGACTAAAATAGAGTAACCCGTAAAAAAACCCGAAAAAACGGAGGTTGGCTTAGATTTGTTTTTAAAGTATTTTAAGCCATTCTCTTCACTGTGTTCCCTTTACTTAAATGAACACTTTCAGGTGAAGAGGTGGACGACACTAACCCTGTGTAAACTTCGGCACCTTCCAACATGTGGCTTACGACGTGTAGCTTCAAAGAGTTAGTACTGAGGAATAACAAAGCAGAGGGATAGTGTGGTGTGGTGTGGTCTTTAAAGTAAGCCTGACCTAACCTAAAAAAAATGCATAAAAGTAATAACAATACTGAAACCAAGGCAACCTGTTCTGCCTGCAAGTAACTACATAAGTCTTCAATAAAGCATGTATCCCTATGAAACCCACTGAGTCTTGTGGCAGGCTATGAGAAGGGCTTCAACTTTGCTCCCTTCTGGGGATAAACGCACCCCGTCATTCACCCTTCTAATGCCAGAGCGTCCACTAGACACTGATTCTCTGCCATCTGACCGAGGATACAGTCTGGGCCTGGAATTGAAAGGGCAAAACCAGATATTCAGCCATCATATTGAACACACTTGCAGGCACCACACGATGATTCCTCTTTAACACTGTTAGGCACAGTTTTGGCCAGGACAGGTTTGAGTTTACAAGAACAATTCTAACCAATACTTAAAACTGATGTATTGGTGGTACTCGGGTAATTGTTCATATTCACAGTAACTAGACAGAGCCACTGCTAATTACTCTACTCCCCTCTATACCAACCAGTCCCTCCCAAGCTTTTTATCACCGATGAAGCACTGAAATAGTTTTCAAACCCTAGGGATCCCTCATTAAAATGATGAGACCTACAGTCCATGATACATTAACAAGATCTGTAGGCTGTACAGAGTTTTAAATAAAATAATAAAGAATGGGAATTTCTTAATGATCAAGAAAAACCCCCAAATAATAATGGCCAGAAAAACAAACAGTTAAAACTGTATTGACGCCTTTGATTGGTGGTCAGTGTAGAACTGCTCCCTAAGCTGGCCATACGCCTATAGATTATCAGCAAATTTTCTATGGTCAGATGGAAAAAGTGCAACAGATTCCTCCATCTCCGCTAAACTGTGTGGATGGAGGATTCTCCCACTGGGCCAAGCTTCAGTATCTTGCTAGTCGGCCCCGCTGGCTGTCAAAATACCTGGACAATGTGATTGGATGCAGGCATTATTCAGGTATTTTGACACAGTTTAGCGTAGATGGAGGAATCTGTTGCACCTTTTCCATCTGACCCTAGAAAATCTGCAGATAGGTGTATGGCCAGCTTTACATTGGTGGTCAGTGTAAAAGTGACTCCCTTACATTACTAGTCATTGAAGATCTCTTCTCAATGAACCCCTGGCAACCTGTGTAGGAACTCCATGATCCACAGAACCCTAGTTGAGAAAGGCTGCTCTGAGAATTCCGAGGACAGACCAAGTTGCTTTGTAGTATTGACAGCAGCAAGCAGATGCAAGATTATCACAATAGATGCCAAAATGACTTAACTTTGGTGAATATTTAGTGAAAATCCAACATGAAACCCTAACACTGCCTTATAAACGTGTCTAAAATGTATATACCTGTTATCTGCAAGGCGGGGCAAAAACATGCTCCCTGTTTGCTTAATAAGGCCAGATATCTTTCAGCCACTATGCTGGAGAACTGTAGACACATGGAATGTTGCATTTACACAGTCTGGGGAATATTTAAGAAATTAGTAGGCAGCCATGTCTACAGCTGCACCATGGGATTTTTTTTTAATTCTTTGGGAACAATGGATATTTTAAAAGCATGGACAAGCATACAGGAACAGGACGGTAATCATACTCATTTACCAAGTAAAGGATTTTTCTGCCCTGCCTTGGAGTACTACATTTCTTAAAATAGCAGAATGACTGGAGCAAAAAACGATTTTATACTCTTTTCCCCAAAGCAACAGAAGTCAAGCCCAACAGGATTATTATTCCCTTTAAAGTAACTTATACTGACTAATGAATACCGTAAAACTATATTTTTCCCAGAAATAAAAACAACGGATCTAAAAACTGAAGAAAAAAAAAAACCACTATAAAAATTACCTGATTAAACAATTATTGGCACCATACAATATATAAAATACATCTAATAGGATAAAAAAAATCCCTGGTACTAATATGGCAAAATGTAAAAATGTGAACCTGTCATGTGAATTAAAGTGACATTAAACCCTCAGATTTTTTAACATAAAACAATACTGTAATGTGTGCCTTACTGTAATCCATGGTTGTTTCCCTTCTCTTTGCTGCTCTTCCTTTTAAATCTGTATCTCTTCTCATGCTGGGCAGAACTTCTGTTTTGCAGCAGACTGCCTTGTCTCTGGAATGGATACACGGTGTCTGTGTGTAGGTTTGCAACCTGAGCCAGCACTACAGGAAGAGGCACTCAGCTGCAAAGGGAAGTTCTCCCCAAGCATGAGAAGACATGAGGATTTAAAAAGGAAGAGCAGCAAAGAGAAGGGAAACTACCATGGATTACAGAAAGGCGCACATTACAGTATTGGTTTATGTTAAAAAATCTGAGGGTATAATGTCACTTTAAGTGTAAAATCTAAGAAAACTGCTGAAGAACAGGCATCAACAGGAGCCTGCAAGTACCTTTCAAATCCCCCTAATCATTTGTTGCTCCCGAGGAGCCCCCTTGTCCTATGCATTTCAGCTCAGATTATTCAATGGCTCAGAGTCAAGGTCAATCCCCCCCCCCCAATTAGGCTATGATCCACTACCGCTATTCAACACTACAATATCAGAGCAGCCAACTTTGGCTCTGACATAGATTGTTAAACAGCAGGGTTTAACTCAGAGCTGGAGTCAAGGCCAAAATGGATTTTGCAGCCCAGATTAGGGTGACTTCTTGGGAGCACCATAATTGACTTGGTGCATTTGAAAAGGTATTTGCTGAAATGATGCCTGCTCCTTAGCACACCTGACAGTCCCCTTTAGGATGCCATTCATGGATTTCAAAGAAGGCGACATTCCTTGTAAGTAGAAAACTGGAGATCCTTGAAGAACATTCTATACATTCAGAGCAGACACCAGAGAACAGTGAGAGCGGCCACAATGCCGTTTAATATGGCCATGGTGTAACCCACGTGGAAAGAATGGCCTGTAATCTTCCTGCAAAGAAAAGAAAAAAAATTGAATTACACAACTCTATATGCAAAAGCAAATGAAAATTCATGCAATAAAAACAAACATACCCCTGGGATAATATAATACTGTATTCCATAAGGCATATAGCCAAAAGTAATAATTTTACATGTTTATATATAATTGAGAATACAATGATGAGTAAATCATTTTATAATAAGGTTCCTCACAGAAATAAGGGTTTGAAAGTTCAAATTAAAAAAATAAATTTAAAGTTAGAGCAAACCTGCCATGACAATGAACTCAAACTATGAGATTGGGACCAACAAGCTCAGTTCACCCTGGAGACCCCCAAATGTCTATACAAATAAGGTTCACGCCCTGCATCCAGTGTGGCATGACCAGATCCTCCCAGAATGTCACAAAGTCACCAGCAGGTTAGCTTGTTTGTAATGACGGCTTTGCTGAATAATCCAAACACAATTAGCATATAAACCAATCCAAATGTATTTTGACATAAATTGCACTATTTTGGTATGGAAATGCCTGCTACTTTACGCTTTCTTATTTTTTTATATTGAAGTTCTCTGCCTGCTGCTCCTAATATTTAATTGTGCTTAAAGGAAAACTATGAGGTGAGTGAAAATCACTCGGCCTCATAGTTCGAGCCGACTTGTGACAATGAAACTGTCACATGTCGGCTCAATAGATCGGGAAGTAATCGAACACATACCGTCGCTCGCTCACTTCTCGATCATCTCCCTGCAGAGAGCAGTGACTGTCACGGCTCCCTGCAGGGATTCCCCCCTACCTGATCCGCCAGCGCTAACTGGAGGAACGGACGGGGGAGGGCACAGCTGGCTCTGCCTCTAGATGGGCAGAGCCAGCTGTCACTCACGCAGCTGGGTGCGGCGGTCTCAGTATACCGCGGGCAATAGCTTGTGATATACTGAGCTTTGGATCACAGGAGGATGCTAGTATATGTCCTCCTGTGACCCTTAAGGGAACTATGGGGGGAAACACGTATCCCATAGTTCTCCTTTAAAGGAGGATTATGAAGAGAGTGAAATACAGCCATCCCCATAATTAGAGCCGATGTGTGGCTCTATTGATTCGGAACTGAGCAAATCACATAGTGCCGATCGCTCAGTTCCCCATCATCTCCCAGCAGAGAGCTGTGACTGTCAGTCACCACTCCCCCTTCCAGTGCTTACTGAAGGAACGGACGGTGGAGGTACTGATGGCTTTCGCTGTCCATTAAGTAGCAGAGTAGATCCCAACAATATTGTCGGTTCCATCACAGCTGCAGCGTGGCTCTGCGCTGTCAACATATAGTGGGCAATAGCCCGCTATATGCAGAGTTTTGGGTCACAGGAGGACATTAGTATATTAATATTTCCTTCTGTGACCCTAAAGAGAACCATGGCCCAAAAAAAAAGGTAGGACAATAGTTCTCTTTTAAGTCTTTTCTGTTGCTGCTCTGGCATATGCCAGCAACTGTATTGGCAATCATGAAAAGAGAAGCCAATTGGTTGGCATGGCAAACTGCCCCAGATTCAGTCTGCTCCAGTTTTGATAAATTCCCCCCAAGGTATTTACTGGCTTTGCTTTTGCATGTGCATCTTTGTTTCCAGCGCTTCATTATGGAAGTGTTGCTTTAATGCTTTTTTAATGAACACATAACTGGACCAAAGCTCTCTTTTGTATATGTACACATCCATATATTTGCCTGGAGTTCCATTTTAATCACTAAACTAATGGTGCTAAACTCCTGCCCGGAGGCGGTCTCTCCTGGAGCTTTTTTAATTGCTTGACAATGAATTGTAAAAACAAATTAAAATGAAGAGTTCACATGGCTCACAGTGTGTACAAATGCTCACTGTAATAAAATGTGGAAATACTGCCTACAGTGCTCCATGTACTGTTCATATTTAATCGACCTCACAGCAGTCCGCTTTTATGGTGTGTCCAGATTGCAAATGCTTCTCTCTTGCTACTTGCTACAAAATGACTCCCTTCTAATATGTTAGGAACTTGAAAAATACCAACAGGGACGGACAAACTGCAGGAGCTAGTAAGACAATGTACCAAAATATTACAACTCCCAACTGTCTGAATTTTGCTAAGGCCTTCTGCACACAGGCGTCTGTGGATTCCTGCGGCAAGAACCTGTTGATTCTTATGCCTGGACGCAATCTCGCTACCAATCTGCAGGTAATTGTTCCACATATGATTACATGGGGATAGACACAGACAGATGCAACAACTGTTATCAACTTGAATGGACCCACCTGAGATTCCTGCCACAAGAATTCACAGATTCATGCTTCAGGAATCCCCAGATGTTCATGTAGCCTAAATGTTCTCATTTTTGTGTCCCAACACACACACACACACACACACACACAAATAACCTGAGGGCAGACGTGTTTTGTTGTACTGGTATGGATTAGTCAAGCCAAGCAATTATCCTAACAGACTCTATGCTACAGTATGCATCATCATTGTTCATCAGGGGTAGCCAAACTTTGACCCTGGAGCTGTGGTGAAACTACAAATCCCATAAGGCATTGCTGGACTCTGACAGCTATAGGCATGGTTTAGCGAGGCAGATAGATGATGGGAATATAGTTTCACCACAGCTGAAGGACCAAAGTTTGGCTACCTGTGTTGTAGATGATTTGTTGGACATGGCTGTGTTGGATGGGGGGGTAATTTGATGTAAACTGACACATGTCCGTTGACATCCAATTCCCCATAGACCAACATGGGGTCTGGCCATTTCAGGTTTTTTTCTCCAGCGTAAGATGGAGGAAAAAACTGGATGGACACAGCATGTCACAGCGGTGACATCCGATCCATACTGCTGTGATCAGGAGGGATCCATGCAGAGATCCCCTCCTGATCAGCCCGTGTGAAAAGGGCCTTAAGCCAGTAGTGTCTCTTCACCACAGTAGAGAAAATCAGTGTGGGCAGCAGGAGAGGCATTTAACACATTTATTTTAGCGCTAGAAACACTTTAAAATACTTAAAAGGTATATTTGGACATTTTAATTTGAGCAGTTACTAGGTTTCTTGAAAAACAAAGCAATCCATATTTACACATTACCTCTGCTTTCTCTTTCATTATTGATGTCCGACATGCGTAAATTTAAAAACAAATACATATTTTCTAACTGCAATTAACCACTTGCTGACCTGGGTGTTTATACCCCCTTCCTGTCCAGGCCATTTTTCAGTGTTCAGCGCTGCAGTACTTTGAGCCGTTCGCGGTGATATGTAGCATGTGCGGCGTAATCGTCGCTTTGGCACGTAGGCGCACTCGATGCATGTTTGCAAGTGTATGTGGGGGCGGGGGGCTTTTACATTTTTTAAATTGCTTTTATATGTGACGTTTACATTAATTTTTTTTGTAACTTTCATTTTTTAACCTTTTTTTCACTTAACTTTATTGCTATCACAATAGGGGCTAACAAGCCCCCTATGTGATAGTCAATTTGCAGTGGCAGGTCTTCTTTATAGAGACATCAGGGGTCTTTAAGACCCCTAATGTCACCTAGGGACCCCCAGAGAAGCTGAGAAAGCACAGATCTGCTTCTCTGGCTTCTGTACCGGAGAGTGACAGAGGAATGTGGAAGTGATGTAATATACATCACTTCCTGCATTCCGACGAGGAGATCAAACGGAGGTCGTGCACTAATCTCTGTTTGATCTCCGATCACAGAGCCGATGTGCTGGTTCCGGGCTCACACCAGGCACAGCGGAGCTCGGGAACGCCAGCAGCGGCTGCGATGGAGGGGGGAGGTAGGGGGGGGGGAGGGGCGCACACCTACACGCATATTACAAGTGATCGCCCGAACGCCATCGCTAGCTGTTTACATTTCAAGCTGATTTCCCGCTCGTGCGCGCCGCCTAGTTTAAAAACGCCCACCCGCATCCACAAAGCCGCTGTCTGGCCGTTTAATTACAAAGGCAGGACAGCAGGTGGTTAACAAGCATTTTTTATGCCTAGACTTTGGTCAAATGAAAGTAGAAAGAAGAGAGCAGATTTGGTGTGCCAGATGTCTTTGCAGCATTGTTCATCATTCTTCGTTAAATCTGGGGTCGGTTTGAATAACAGTCTTCTGTATGCAGTACAAGCCTCCTTTAAATATAAATAGCCTCTCTTCTGATGAACCACTAAAACAGTTTACATATTCATTCAGTGAATGGTAAATTCTTCAATTACCTAAACCGCCTTGTAATATATGTTTAGCGTTCCTTTGATAAAACATTTGAATGGTCAGAAGCCAATAAACAGCCCAAAGGTTTGTGGCACAAAAGTGTTCCCTCCAACAATTCTCTTAAACCATCCAGTTGGCTTATTAGTTAGTTTTGCTTTTTTTGCTTCTGGAACTCGGCACAGAGGAACCAAATGGAGTAATTTCTGCCTCTGTCATTCTCCCTGTTGCCTGGGTGAATAACGAAAATGTAGAGTTGTTGAGTAGTTGCAATTAGTTGTGTTGCCACTCCATGTCTGAGAGCCAGCTATGGATGGTGCATGAAGGATGCCTCGTATAAATACAGGCAATTCACCAATTTCTAAAAACACAAAACACTCAAATGACTCAGCCACTTAGTATGAATTGGCTTTAAAAATGTTTATTTGTAATAGTCTATATTATGTAGAAACACAGCAATTCTTCTTAAAGTGACTCTGCCCTAGTGTGTTGATGTGCTGCATCTTCCTTCTGCCATTCCAACTGCCACCCATTACGTCACTGGCGTTTCCCTGGAAGGACATACTCCCTGACGAAGTCACGCTGGACGTAACGCATTTAGGGCGGAGCATCTGACGTCTCTACAGCCATAGCTGAACCTGCCAGGAGGACAGGATCGCAATTACCGCATCTCCTCTCTTTAACCACTGTGGGGATTTCCCTGCGAGAGAGTGAATGATGCTACATGCCTGTTTCTAATGTTTTTATGCAAGTACCTTTTCAATAACCAAAAGAAACTTCTCTCTGGATGGTACGTGCTGTGCGTTT